TTTTTTTTTTTTTTTTTTGCAGGCCCAGTTTGACATCACTGTAGCCAGTGAGATTATGGCAGTTTTAGCTCTCACCACCAGTCTGGCTGACATGAAGGAGAGACTTGCAAAAATGGTGGTGGCCACCAGTCGCCGTGCTCAGCCTGTCACCACCGAGGATTTGGTGTGCTGCTGTCATATGTCTAATTTTATCTCAAATGAAAATGTCTAGGTGTTCATCCTGTGTTGATTCTGTAGTGTTTGTGTCTTAGGGAGTGTGTGGAGCTCTGACAGTACTCATGCGAGATGCCATCAAGCCAAACCTCATGCAGACACTTGAGGTGAGACGAATTGTCCCGGGTTGTGTATATTCAAGTTAATTTGCAAATCACCTAGAACTAAATAGGCCTTCATAGATAAATTATTCCTTATTCATGCCCAACTCCACCAGTTGCTTAAATCAGTTTCCCAGCTGTTTTCTTGTCACTTATTCTCTGGTGCTTTAGAGGTGTGTCTTAAGTCTTTGTATGAACACTTGTTTAGGGAAACCCTGTGTTTGTTCATGCTGGACCTTTTGCAAACATTGCACATGGAAACTCTTCAATCTTGGCAGATAAAATTGCTCTGAAACTAGTTGGACCTCAGGGATTTGTGGGTAAGTTAAACAAATCAAAACCACCTTTTTGTTATTGGCATAATTTAAATCTATCTGTAAAGTGAAGCGCCAGTATAACTTACAAACTTTGTAACTAACGTTATTTAACTAAAAAGGTAACAATTTAGTTTTAAAATTCATTGTTAATTATTAATTTATGTAAATTAGTATTTAGTATATAGAGTTAGGGTTAGGAAAATTATACATAATTATAGCATTAGTTTATATATTTTTTTCCTTTTACAAAAAAAAAAAGAGGCAAATAAACACCCACGTGACTTTAAATCAGCATACTGTATACAGACTTCAGTATATTGTATGCAGTATACACGTGCTTGAGTTGTTTCTTACACCACGTGTGTCCATGTTGCAACATTTTTATGCTGTCTGCATGGGATGCACCAAAGCAAATCTTTCAAATCCATTTGGCCTGATGTTGGAACTAGTCAGAAATTTACTGAGGTATCTGTTTACTGTCAGTGACTCACGGCGCAGTGCCGCTCACATCTGGTAGAGACAGGGTGTTAAAGTACTTATGGGACATATTAATTACAAAATTGTGCAAAAATTGAATTGTTTGGTAGTCTTGGATCCCATCAGTGTGAATTCCTAAAGGGTTTATTGTTGTTTTCTGCCAGTCACTGAAGCAGGTTTTGGAGCAGATATTGGAATGGAGAAATTTTTCAATATCAAGTGTCGCCACTCTGGTCTCAAGCCTCATGTTGTGGTCTTGGTTGCCACAGTTCGAGCACTTAAGATGCATGGAGGTGGTCCAACGGTGAGTCTGAGAATACAGCACAGTAATTTATTTACTTTTTCATGTAGATTGTCATTTTCTCCCACTTAAACATATAAATTTGTACAGGGAGTTGATAAATGTGCATTGCATTGTATCTTTTCTGTAGGTCACCGCAGGCACGCCTCTGCCAAAAGAATATATTGAAGAGGTACTCTAAGATCGTTTAATGGTTTTTCTTGCTAGTCTGTGATTTTTATAGATAATGTAGTCTAGTGATGGGAGTAGCTAAAAATGTAGGTGTTCTAAAACTTTTTCACCGGTATTACCATATGTATAAATAAAGTTTTGGGAGTGGCAGCTGCATTTAACTAAATGTGAATCACAGGAGTCACTCCAGAAACATTCCCAAAACTTAATGTTGTACTGATAAATTTGGTTTGAACTCTTGCAGAATCTGGCACTGCTGGAAGCCGGCTGTAGTAACATGAGGAAGCAAGTGGAGAACGCTCAGCTTTTTGGGGTTCCAGTAGTTGTGGCTGTCAACGCTTTCAAGTAAGACGGCACCTGCTGATTAAACTTGCACAATACAGATTTTTAAAATAAATTCATCAGCTTTATGCAGAGTAGGGCAAGTTAAGGGTTTTTAATGTCTATCAAAATTCCTAAAGCTTTGTTTACTGACTAGTTTGTTACTATTATACAATAGTTTACGATGGACAGAAAGTAACCCAAAAAATCAGTGTGGTGCCTTAACAACATCTTAGTCACTACTGCTGCATGGGTGGCCCCACACTTGCTTTTACTTTTCATTGCTTTTTAATAGGGCATGTGCTAATAGAATTAATTCAGTGAATTTTGTCTCTGACCTGTATGTTCATTTCATAAGGAATTTTTCTACAGTCAGAACAAATCAAAAATCTTAAAGGGTACCTATTATGCAAACTTCACTTTTGCATGTTGTTTGAACTATAAATGTGTGTTGGCAGTGTGTGTACACAACCACCCTATAATGC